ATTTTGTATCCTGAGACTTTGCTGAAGTTGCTTATCAGCTTAAGGAGATTTTCGGCTGAGACAATGGGGTTTTCTAAATATACAATCATGTCATCTGGAAATGGAGACAATTTGACTTCCTCTCTTCCTATTTGAATACCAATGTGAAAATCCTCAAGAAAATACTGGCAAACAGAATCCAGCAGCACACCAAAAAGCTTATCCACCACGATCAAGTCGGCTTCATCCCTGGGATGCAAGGCTGGTTCTACACATGCAAATCAATAAATGTAATCCATCACATAAACAGAACCAATGACAAAAGCAAACCACATGATTATCTCAATGGATGCAGAAAAGGCCTTCAATAAAATTCAATACCCCTTCATGCCAAAAACTCTCAATAAATTAGGTACTGATGGAATGTATCTCAAAATAGTAAGAGCTATCTATGACAAACCCACAGCCAATATCATACTGAATGGGCAAAAGCTAGAAGCATTCCCTTTGAAAACTGGCACAAGACAAGGATGCCCTATCTCACTATTCCTATTCGACATAGTATTGGAAGTTCTGGCCAGGGCAATCAGGCAAGAGAAAGAAACAACAGGTCCTATTCTAAAGCAAACTCCAGGTCAGACTATGGAAACTCCTGAATCAAGAACCAGAGAACTATTCTGATTGTTGTAATACTCCCATGGACACAATCCTCATCATGCCTCTGGGGTATTGTCACACTCAACTCTTTGATATAGAAGTTGGCAATGTGGTCGGTGAAAATCCCACAAAATAAGATAGTTTTATTCTTCTACCAATTAAAGAGACATAGACATCATTATATAGCCATATAGAAACATGATGGCCCAGGGACACATACGTGGCTACATATCCAGATACAGAGAACTACCCGCACCTTCCTTCTCCTGCAGCCTAAACACTTACATCTAAATGTTCCATGGTCACATCACAGAGGGAACTACAGGATGGATGAAGCAGTTCACAGATGATGGTGTCTGCACCCTTGCAAAACAACATTATCCGATCTTCAGGTGTCCGCACTAAAGATAAGCAAATTAAGCAAAGTAACTATCAGTCTCTTATTATAACTTATCTGAGCCAATGAGGGATAATAGGAGGCTATTCCCCATGACACTGTTTCTCCCTTTAATGGAGGCTAAGTACTCAGTGAGTGGTCACACAGGATAAATGATGTGGTGAGGGCTGCTAAAAGTGAGAGAGGAACTTACAGAACCAGTTCTTCCATGGGTTCAGTGCTACCCATGGAAGAGTCTGATGTAGAATCACATTTAGTATCTCCAAGTCCCAGACCAAGGCTCATATCTAGTAATGCCATGGGTGAAAAATGACCTTCCTTTTTAGTATGAGGGGCTCAAACTAACTGAGAGAGACAGTATGAATTTTCCCTTACTGTCTGCTCCCACCTCTTATTCCATGTTCAGGCTTTATAAATTTATTCTTTGCCCTCACCGTGGCTTTGAGGGTGCTGACAAGCCACTGCTCAGGAACACTAGGGACTTAGTGTGGACTTAGCATATGGTAGCAAGCCCACATATGTATGTAAGAGAAAAGTTAAAGGATATGTGAGAAAATAGGGATGGCTGCATGTTTGTATTTGAGGCACATACCTATGAGAAGGTATGTGAGTGGGAGAAAGCATGTATGTGTAGATAAAAAAGAAAGGCAATGTGTGAATACGTATGAAGGACAAAGAAGGGGAGAAGGCCAACTAGGAAGGGCACCCACCAATAACAGACATCCTCTTGCGCACACTGTTGAAGTCCAAAATAGTCAGCAGTTGGTAGACTCTGGTTTTCCCCATTTCGACCAGTATGACTGTCTCAGACGTGCGGGAACGGAACACAAAGCCAAAGTTCCTGGCAGCAGTGACCAGGGCACCTTCATCTGGTGACTGAGCCTGGTACACCAGCATGCCTGACAGGAGAGAAGAGGGCAACCAGAGCCCACAGAGATGAGTAGCTGAAGTCCACCCAGAAGTGACACTATCTTCTAAGTGGTTTATATAAAGATAGAGCCCAGAAAGGGGCATGTTTCTTTAAAACTACCTGACAAGTCTGGCTCTACAAGGCCAGATTGCATAGAACATATCAGTGTTTTCTCCTTTCCTTTTTTTTATTTTTTATTTTTATTTTTTTGAGACAGGGTCTCATTCTGTCACCCAGGCTGGAGTGCAAGTGGTGTGATCACAGCTCACTGAAGACTCAACCTCCCAGGCTCAAGCAGTCCTCCCACCTTGCTCTCCCAAGGAGCTGTGACCACAGGTATGCACCACAACTGGCTTTTTTTTTTTTTTAAAGATGGGGTCTCCCTATGTTGCCCAGGCTGGTATCAAACTTCTGGGCTCAAGTGATCCTCCCTTCTCGGCATGCCAAAGTGCTGAGATTATGGGCATGAGCCACCACACCTGGCCTTCATTTCCATTATTTTCAACTTACTTTACAGAGGTATATGGAACATATAATGTATACAAACAAACTGAACAGGCAGTTATTCTTTGACTTTAGTGAGTAAAGATGGCTCAGGAAGCTTGTTAAAAATGCTAGTTCCTGGATCTCTCCCAAACTTAACTGAATCCATAATCACAAAATCTGGGAGGAGGGCCTAAGAAAATGAATTTTTAACAAATCTCCTGGGTGATTCTCATGCAGGTGGTCCTGCATAAGTACTCCTGAATAAGACTAACCACGCTTTTAAAAACACTGCTGTAAGAAAATAAGATTGATGATTTAGTAAACTATATATATATAGTTTATATATATAGAGAGAGATACATATACGCAAGTGTTGTCATCTTTGAAAGTCACCCTGGGAAGCTAAATGACTCACCTTATTGAATCAGTCTTTCAATCTGATATTCTTCAAGATATTTCTGCAACTCCTTTGTTAAAATATTGTCACAGCTTGAGGTATATTTTAGATTATTTTTCTTCTGAAGGTTGATTTGATTTTTAAAACAGTTATGCATCATTAGAGTCTTATGCTTGTGAATACGGTAGGTGGGGAATATAATTTTAGGTCAGATACAAGATATATCTACTGAACAATTGAGATTATTTTCTTGTGTGTTTCCTGCTCTGTTACTCGGGGCAGTAAACAAGGCCAAGGCCAAATATGTTCAAATAATAGCAGCTTGTTGGAATAGCAGCAGGTCAGAGAAGCATGCGGTGAACGTGACATTGGGTTTTTATCTCTGCTCTTCTTAGCTATAGGATTTTAGGCAAGTAACTTAAGCTCCCTTAGCATCAGTTTCCATTTTTCTGGTTCTGCCTACCTCAGAGGGCTGATGTGAAGACTATATGAGATAATACAAATGAAAGCAATTTGTAAAACTGTAAAGTGATATACAAATATAGGGTGTCACTACTGGTAGTGTTAAGAGTACATTGACTTTAAAGGATGTGATTCATTTGGTTGTCTAAATTATTATTATTATTTTTTTAATTTGAGATGGAGTCTCCCTCTGTTACCCAGGCTGGAGTGTAGTGGCACGATCTTGGCTCACTGCAACTTCCGCCTCTCGGGTTCAAGTGATTCTTCTGTCCTCAGCCTCCCAAGCAGCTAGGACTACAGGTGCGTGCAACCATGCCTGGCTAATTTTTGTATTTTTAGTAGAAACGGGGTTTCACCATATTGGCCAGGCTGGTCTTGAACTCCGGACCTTGTGATCTGCCCGCCTCAGGCTCCCAAAGTGCTGGGATTACAAGCGTGAGCCACTGCGCCTGTCCTGGTTATATAAATTCTTATTTGTTAAGGGAAAAAAGTCTTCTTAATTAATTAATTTATTTTTTGGGACAGGGTCTTGCTCTATCACCCACACTGAAGTGCACTGGCATGATCTTGGCTCACTGCAACTTCTGCTTCCAGGGCTCAGGTGATCTGCCCACCTCAGCCTCCTGAGTAGCTGGGACTACAGGTGCACACCACCATGCTTGACTAATCGTTTTTTTTTTTTTTTTTTTTTTTTACTTTTTGTAGAGACAGAGTTTCATTATGTTGCCCAGGCTGGTCTCGAATTCCTGGAGTCATACAATCCACCTGCTCAGCCTCCTGCTACTGGCATGAGCCACTGCACCCTGCCAAGTCTTAATTTATAATCAATTATTTCTCATTCATTGTTTCTAAAGAGGCTTGGATAAATTAATGGACGACATAGCCAGATCTGGTTACTAAAAAAACTAGGATAGTGGAGATATCTTCAAATTGTGAAGCAACAAGAGGATGACAACTCATCTTTTAGGAGGCCTTGTCAGAAATAGTGGGGCTGATCTGGAGGGCAGAACATCACAGAGCTTCAAGATCAGAAGTTCCCACGGCTATGCTTTCAGGGACCATTCTTTTTTCTTTTTCCTGCCACCCTCCTCAGGATAATTTTTTTTCCCTAGAGATAGGGTCTCTCTGCCACCCAAGCTGGAGTGCAGTGGCACGATCATAGCTCATTGCAACCTCAAACTCCTACCCTCAAGCCATCCTCCTGCCTTAGCCTCCCAAGTAAGTGGGATTACAGGCCTGCAGCACCATAGCTGGCTAATTTTTTTCTTTTTTTTTTTCTTTTCTTTTCATTTCTTTCTTTTTTTTTTTTTGTGACAGAGTCTCGCTGTATCGCCAGGCTGGAGTGCAATGTCACTATCTCGGCTCACTGCAACCTCCAACTCCCTGGTTTAAGCAATTCTCCTGGCGCAGCTCCCCGAGTAGCTGGGATTACAGGCATGCGCCACCACACCCAGCTAATTTTTGCATTTTTAGTAGAGACAGGGGTTTCACCATGTTGGTCAGGATGGTCTTGATCTCCTGACCTCATGATCCGCCCGCCTCGGCCTCCCAAAGTACTGGGATTATAGGCGTGAGTCACTGCGCCTGGCACCTGGCTAATTTTTTATTTATTTTAAATTTTTTTTTTTGTAGAGATAGGGGTGGACAGGGGGAATCTCACTTTGTTGTCCAGGCTAGTCTCAAACTCCTGGCTTCAAGCAATCCTCCTGCCTTGGCCTTCCAAAATGCTGGGATTATAAGCATGAGCCACTGCTCTCAGCCTCAGGGATCATTCTATAGTTAGTTACCAGAAAAGTTTCTCTGAAAATGTAGAGCACCATAAAAAATTAAAAGAAATGAAAATAATCTGAAGCTCCCCAGACAGCACCAAGTTTGGCTCCTACTGAATGAATGAATCTTCTTTTAAACCAAGAGTTTGTTTTCTACTTGAATACCTCTGGTATTAACAGGAGCTAACACTTATCTTGACTATCCATTCCATTGCCAGACAAAGCTACCTAATAGAAAGTTCTTTCTTAGATTAAGCCATTGCAAAGCATATCAAATCACCCCTACCTCCAGCCTAGACTCCATGACATATTCTCAGTCCATGAAGCTACCTTAGGCCTCTCCTCACCTTCTACTTTTTCTTCTGACATCACGGTATGACACAATGAGAGTGAGCGGAAAAACAAGTGCACCCAGTGATCTCCCTTTTTCACTGCTTCCACCAAAGTCTTGTCATAAAATGAAAACTTAGGATCAGCCAGTTTGTTGTAGGAGAAGTCAACCTTTTCTTTCTGGAACACATAAGCCAGAACAAACTTCTCAGCAGCAGCTTGATACTTTTCAGATCAATTTGGAGGCAGTTTCTGGAATGTGATGAGAACTCCTAGGAGGATGGCAAGGAAAAGCAAGATAAATGAAGGAGATCCTGTGCTGGTTTCTAAGGCCCCTGTAGCTCTGACCTGGATCATCTATTTATCGGGCCAGAAAACATCCTTCCTACAGGAGACAAGCTGGGCACTGCTCAGCAGACCCCTCTTGGACTCATTCACTCCAGCTATTCTGAATGGTTAATGGCTGTCTTCAAACTCTGCTCTTCTAGGTCCCAAATCTATGATAATCATACCTGAGGATAATCAAAACAGAGGGAGTAATTGCTCTGTATTTGTAGGTGGTGTCTGGAAAGAGCATTGTTTCTGGTTGTCCGTTGCCTGATTTTGGGAACTGAGTTTGGAGTAGAGTCCTACATACAGTGGTATCATTGTGTTACACTATTCCTCTCTGGCCCCACCAGAGTTAAAAGAAGGCTAGGGAAGAATATTGCAAGATAGAGCAAGGCCACATGACAAGGAAGCTTCAGTACGTGCTTGTTGTTCACAGACTATATTCCTGCTTGACTTGTCAGCATACCTGATTCTTCCTGCCTCTAACCCTCATGATCACTGACTTTGCTGCTTGTGTTCCTATTTCAGTCCTTCCTTCAATCTTGTGCATAGTCACTAACCATCTTCCTGGCTATGACCTTGGCTCCTTTAGCCATTGACTCTGATTCTCCATTTCAGCTAGGCTGCTTGTAGCCACCTTGGGCAAACACTTTTTTTCTGGCTCAGCTTGGCCCTAATACTTTCTTTCTCTTTTTCTTTCTTTTTTGTTGTTGTTGTTTTGTTGTTATTGTTGAAACAGAGTCTCAGTCACCCAGGCTGGAGTGCAGTGGTGCAATCTTGGCTCACCACAACCTCCACTTCCTGGGTTCAAGCAATTCTCGTGCCTCAGCCTCCCAAGTAGCTGGAATTACAGGCGTGTGCTACCATGCCCAACTAATTTTTGTATTTTTAGTACAGATGGAGTTTCACCACGTTGGCCAGGCTGGTCTCGAACTCCTGGCCTCAAGTGGTCCACCCACCTCAGCCCCCGCAAAGTGCTGGGATTACAGGCATTAGTCACTGCGCCCAGCTGGCCCTAAGATTTTCTTTTCTCCACTCTGGAGTACAATGTTATGAACACATTTCTCCAGCTCATACCAGAACTCTCAAGGATCTTTCTCCAGTTCTCTGTATATGTGGCGTTACTTGGGCTGGGCCCTACTATGTCAAGTACAGATACAATTTAGTTGCTTGGTGCTATGTTGGGAAAAAGGAAGTTTGTAGTGAGGTATATTGGCTCTTTTCTATATCTTACTTAGAGGGAGTTTGTCAGAGCAGCAAGGAGGTATGCTCAGGTCCAGAACCAAGCCCTAGACTTAGCCAACAATAGAGTTATAAGCTCGGGGAAGTTCATGGTTTCAGCAATTTAAGATGACCCATTATACAGCACATGTATCCTAAGGCTTTTCTAGAATTGAGACCTTACAGTGACACATTCTTTGAAACTAGAGGCTAGTGAGTAAGGAGAGACAAGGATGGAAAGGAAGGCATGAGCCAGATCCTGCATTACTATCTTATTACCAATAAGGTGTCATAGTGATTTTCCACCAGAAGTGATGTGGATTCCTGTCAGAGAAAGTCCTCTGGTAGCAGCATGAAGAATATATTGGAACTAGCAAGATGAGAAGCAGGGAGACCAGTTAGGAGACCACTTAGTGATTCACAAGATAAGATAAATGATGAAGTAGTGACAATAAATATTAAATTAAGGGGATGGATTTGAAAATATAGAGTTAGAATTGATAGGACATGGATATAAGGAGTAAAAGAGAAGAAGGGTTAGGAATAATTTTATATTCCCTAATTGGGCCCCTGGATAGACAGTGAGACCATTCACTGAGATAGAATACCCAGCAAGAGAAGATTTTTTGACAGACTGAATTGGAGATCCTGAAGACATACAGGTAGTAATGAAGGCAGGCAGTTGTACATATAGTTTTGAAGCTCAGGAAAGAGATATGAGCTAGTTTATGATCTCCCCTTTCAGATAAGTAATGTTTGAGAACAATGAACCCGTCTGGGTTCAGAACTGAGGCAGGACTGGCTGAGAGTTGCAGAACAGCATGATCTGAGAGGCAGCACTCATGGATAACTCTGAAATTGAAAGCAAGATAACCAGTCAAACAATGCTGAAAAGCAAGTCCAAGTAGTAGACAAAAGGACAGAAACTGAGGATGACACCTGAGAGGAAGTGGATTCAGAATGGAGGGTAGAAGGTAGCAACTGAGGAAACTCTTGAATTGTTGTGGTATAACTATAACATAGTTTTTAATAGGATGTCTTTAGCTTTGGCCATGGATGGGAGGGAGTTATTCAGGTTTCCTTGGTTACATGGATTTGGAGGTTATCAGTACATAGGTAGTAGTTAAAGCCATGTAAATATATAAGATTACATGAGTAGACTATACAGATGGAGAAGAGGTTAAATAATAGAGCCCTGAGGGAACATCAGCACCCAATGCAATGAGATGAGAAGAAGCAATCAGACGAGAAGGAAGAACAAGAAGAAACTGTTATTCAATGGAAGTCAAGGGACAAGAGAGTTTTAAGAAAAAGGGGAGTTTAAGAGTGCTAAAATCCACAGAGAAGTTGGGTCAGGATTTAATAACAAGGTAGTCATTCATGACCTTGGCTAGGATAGTTTCAGTGAATATGATAGGACAGAGTCTGAATACATAAAGCAGGCTGAAGAATGAATGAAAGGTGAGGAATTAGAGACTCCTATAATTGCCTGTTTACTTCTGTGACTCCTCCTCTAGGATGCCAACTCTGAAGGTAGGAATCAAGTCTATTTTGTTTTCCCTGAACGTTTTGTACTTACTCAGGGTCTGACATATGGTAGACACTCAATAAATATTTTGGACTGACCGATGGAGACAGATAATGGCTAGAGGGGAATGGAAGAACAAGGTAAGATTATAAGTATTTTTAAAAATAGAATACAAAAAAATATTAAAAATGTATTGTTAGTGGTTACTTCTGGTTAACAAGCTGTGGCTTTTAAAAGCCCATTTATTTCATTTAAAATTATTATTATTATTTTGAGACAGAGTCTCACTGTGTTTGAGACAGAGTCACTGCAGAGCAGTGGTGCACTCTCAGCTCACTGCAGCCTCCGCCTCCCAGGTTCAGGTGATGATTGTGCCTCAGCCTCCTAAGTAGCTAGGATTACAGGCATGGCCACCATACCCAGCTAATCTTTGTATTTTTAGTAGAGAAGGGGTTTCACCATGTTAGCCAGGCTGGTCTCAAACTCCTGGCCTCAAGTGATCTGCCCACCTTGGCCTCCCAAAGTGCTGGGATTATAGGCATGAACCACCATGCCTGGCCTAATACTCTTTTTTTTAAGAACAGTTTTAGGTTTACAAAAAAACTAAGCAAAGTACAGAGAGTTCCTGCATACTCCCTCTCTCACCTCCACCCTCCAGTTTTCCCTATCAACATGTTGCATTATTGTGGTACATTTGTTACAACTGATGAACCAATATTGCTACATATTATAAACTGATGGCCATAGTTTGCAGCATCTTTGACTCTGTGTTGTGTTTCATGGGTTTGACAAGCACACAATGTCATGAATCCACCATGACAACATCATACAGAATAGTTGCACTGCCCCAAACATCCCCTGTGCTCCACTGCTTTATCCCTCTCCCCACTCTCTCCAAACCCCTGGTAACCACAGATCTTTTTGTTTTTACTGCCTTTATCGTTTTCCTTTTTGCAAAATGTCATATATTTGAAATCACACAGTATGTAACCTTTTCAGATTGGCTTCTTTCACCTAACAATATGAATTTAAAGTTCCTCTGTGGTGTGTGTGTGTGGCTTGATAGCACACTTCTTTTTATTGCTGAATAATATTCCATTGTATGGACATACTAATGTAAACAGTTGAGCTGAGGCCAGGCATGGTGGCTCATGTCTGTAATCCCAGAACTTTGGGAGGCCGAGGAGGGCGGATCACTTGAGGCCAGGAGTTTGAGACCAGCCTGGCCAACATGGTAAAACCCCTTCTCTACTAAAAAAACAAAGATTAGCTGGGTATGGTGGCCATGCCTGTAATCCTAGCTACTTAGGAGGCTGAGGCACAATCATTACCTGAACCTGGGAGGCGGAGGCTGCAGTGAGCTGAGATCGTGCCACTGCACTCCAGCCGGGCGATGGAGCCAGACTCTGTGAAGAAAAAAAAAGAAAAAAAAAAGAAAAAAGACAAGCTGAGGGGAAGAAATCATATAAGGGGATATTCAGATATTAAGAAAGAGAGAATACAGGATTGACTGAGGTTCCTGAAGAAGCAGGAAGGGATGGAATCTAGAATATATAGATTAGTACTGAAGGAAAAAGTTATACCTTTTTTGAGACTGAAGGAAAGGAGGTAAAGGCGGGTTAAAATATATGTACAGAGGAGGATATTTAGCTGATAGTTTGGATTTTTCTCAGTAAAATAGAAGGGAATATCATTTGGTACATACTGGGGAGCCAGGGGAGCGTGGTAGAAGGCCTGAGAATGGTGATTGTCTAGAAAAGCTGATACGGAGAATAAAATATGAAGCCAATTACAAAATGGTGAAAAATTTGCCAAGTAGCACTGGGACAGAGGACAGTGGAGTCTCTGAATTTGTAATGGTTTTATGATCTCCAAAATAGTGCTCAACACTCTCAGATTAGAAACAGAGCAGGGTCGATGGCTTGGTTAATTCAAGGTTGAGATTTGTTTAGTGATTAAAGAGAAGAAAAGGAGAACTAGTAAGGTACTGAGGATGCTTATGATCTCACGGTACAGACAGGCAAGCTAGGAAAGGAAGTAAAGTTGTAAGGAATTGATAGACTGGAGAAAAAGGAAAGCCAAGGGTTTATAAATCTCCATGAGATAAAAAAGCAGGAATACTTAAAAAAAATCTCAATTACTGAGCCATGTACTGATAATATGGAGGAATAAGGTTTGTGATCTAAGATTGTGAAAAGAAAGTTTATAATTCCACAGTAGTACAACTCTGGACAATGACATAGTAATATGGAAATGGGTGATACAGAGAGATCATCTGAAGGATTCTTTCAGATACCTGAAAGAGTCCACAGTGATAGGTCGTCCAATAAAGATGACAATACCCTCCAAAACACTAGCAGTGATTGGGAGGGGAGGGAGAAGTTTCAGAGCCCTCAGTGAATGGGGTGTAGAAGCCAGAAGCTTCCTAGATAGCAACAACAAGAAGAGTTAAAGATGATTATCGCCAGAGTCATAAGCATCACAGGAAGAAAGACCGTGTAGGAGAGAAAACCTAATGGTTAAACATGGCACAGGATAATGAGGGCAACACCTTTGGGCTTATCGTATCAGAGTTTATGGTATGCAGAGTATGAGAGAGATGGAAGAAAAAGAAATGTTCTCAGGGAAAATCATGTTTCAATTAATGAAGGGATTGAGGCTACAGGTAAGTTTGTTTATAAGAGAACAAAGAGTCCAGTGATTTAGTGAAAAATGTGTTATGGTCAATCAGTCGTGGACAGAAGAGGGAGAGGAAAGAAACTCCAGGAGGCATTTACTCCCTAGAAGCTATAACTTTGCCTATATTGCCAAGTTCATTAGCCGAGCCCTGGAAGATGATTTAAGGCAAATCACTGAATTTCCTTCCCCTTCCCAATCTCTTTGGATGGATAGGGGTAAGAACTGGAGTCAGATGTTTGGTATATAAGTCAAGTGGCCAAGAGTTTGGAATTGGGTCTGGCAAGACAGGGATAAGGTGAGAAATACCCTGAAGGCAACAGAGGAAACCCTATGAAGGGATACTTAAAAACAAACCCATAAACAAAAGCTGGGTCCAATACTAGAGAAAACAGTAAAAATTAACCAGCTAGAGATAAGAAAAATTAATAGGAAGATATTTTTATAATTTTATAAAGACTGTTGAATATGTCACAAATCCTTAAGTTATAAAGGAAAATGACTGATAGATTTGATTACATGACTTAAAAACTTCTACACAAAATATTATTTAACAAATTAAAAACCAAAAGACAAAATGGGAAAAATAACTGTAACATATGCACCAGACAAAGGAAGAGCTGGTATTTTTACTGTATAAAGAGCATTTTCAAATAAGAAAAAAAGGCCGAAGAATATGAATAGACAGTTCACAAACTAAGTGTAAATGGGCAATAAAGAGATGATAAGGGGAAGAAAAATAAGCACATAAAAATGATTCAATCTAATTAGTAATCAAAAAAGGTAAATTAAATAATTAGATACTATTTTTCATCAATTAAATTTCAACAGATTAAAAATTGTTAATACCAGTTCTGACAAGCATATGGGGGAAAGAAATTGTCATATATTTTTGGTGGGATTATAAAGTTATGCAAATCTACCTGGAGGGCAATATGGCACTATCTAATGTATTAAAACATGGCTACATTTTGACCAACAAATTTTACTTCTAGGACTTTATTCTAAAGAAATAATTATCAGAAAGGTAGACAAAATGTATGTGCCATAATGATTACCAAAATGTCATTTGTAATCACAAAAGAAAATGGAATAAAAATAAGAAATTAAATAAATTAAGGTACACTGATAGAATTGAATAGTAGACACCCATTCAAAATGATGATGTAAACCTAGACCTACTGACATGGAAAGATGATGACAATAATAGTGTCAAGTGAACAAAAGGAAACTGGAAATAATATGCATACTATGATTTTGTCTCCTCCATCTTCTAGATCTAGATGTACATATGTGTGTGTGTATATACATATGAAAAGCATAAGATATACTCCCTAACTTTACATTGGCTATCTAAATGGGATGGAATACTTTTAACTTTCTTCACACATTTCTGTATTGTTTAATTTTTTTTTACAATGAGCATGGATTATTTTTTAAAGAGAAAAAGCCAATAAAGCTATTTTTGTTTAAAAAGAACAAACGAAGATCTTCAGAATTAAACATAGGTCATTTACATAATGCTTTCTGATATTTCTGATATTACAGGGCCAATAAAAGCTTTAATATTTCAGTGGCTAAGGGAGTCTCAATTTGTGCTTCTCTGAAGCACAGCCTCACTTAGCTCCCACATGCATTTCCCATGGAGCTGTAATCACTCACCTCAGAGACTGTCACCCTCTGTCCATCCTTGTCATAAGTATCACCTGTTGGTAAGTGAACACAGCAGAGACTTGGCAAGGGTTTTAAAGGAGGGTTTGAATTTCTTTAAATTATGGTTAAAAAAAATATATATATATATCACATAAAACTTGCCATTTTAACTATTTTAAATGTAAAATGCAATGACATTAATTATATTCACAATGTTGTGCAACAATCACCACTATATGTTTTCAACATTTTTTCAGCACCCCAAACAGAAACTTCCCATTTCTTCCCACCACCAGCCCCTAGTAACCTCTAATCTATTTTCTGTCTCTATGAATTTGCCTATTCTAGATAGTTCACATAAGTAGAATCATGAAATTTTTGTCTTTTTGTGTTTAGCTTACATCATTTAGCGTAATGCTTTCAAGGTTCATCCATGTTGTAGCATGTATCAAATTTCATTACTTTTTAATGGATGATTAACATTCCATTGTATGTATATGCTGTACCACATTTTCTTTATCCATTCATATGTGGATGGACATGTGGGTTATTTCTACCTCTGGACTTACGTGAATAATGTCACAATGAATGTTGGTATACATGTATCCGAGTTCTTGTTTTCAAGTTTTGGGGGTATATACCTAGGAATCAAATTGCTGGGTCATATGGTGATTTAAAGGAGGGGCCTTAAAAGCTTATTTATTCTGATCCCTTCGTCCTAGACTTGCAGTCAAGCTGCCCCCAGTCTCCTCAGGCCACCTAGCTCCCAGTGCCCAGTAAGCTCCTTTCCCTAACCCAATGGTAAGAAGAGTTTTGCTTGGGCCTCAACTCTTCCCTCCTAAGTGAGAATAAGATGAAGCTAGAAGTGAAACGCTTCACACCTCAGAAAGCTCTCCAATCATAAGAGTTACCCAGAAGAGATGTGGACTTAGTTTTAGAGTGTTTGGGATTCTTGACCAGTGGATGACAGACAGAACCGGGGTAGAAGACATGTCTGATGCCAAGCATGGAAACACTCATGGTCCTTTTCAACTTTACCCAGTATATGGTCAGGTCTTAAAATGAGCCAGAGAATTAAAAGGCTCACCCAAATCAACTCATCCAAAAATAAGCCTTCAGAGTTTATATAAATGAAAATTTGTTTGACATGGTTACCAAACAAAAAATAAGAAATATAGGAAATAATAGGAAATATTAGAGTGCTCTAGTTTGTTTTTTTTTTTTTTTTTTTTTAGACAGGAGTTTCATTCTTGTCATCCAGGTTGGAATGTAGTGGCGTGATCTTGGCTCACTGCAAACTTCACCTCCCGGGTTCAAGTAATTCTCCCACCTCAGCCTCCCAAATGGCTGGGATTACAGGTGTGGGCCATCATGCCTGCTAATATTTTTGTATTTTTAGTTGAGATGGGGTTTCACCATGTTGGCCAGGCTCGTCTCGAACTCCTGATCTCAGGTGATCCGCCTGCCTCAGCCTCCCAAAGTATTGAAATTACAGGCATGAGCTAACGCTCCCGGCCTAGCTTTTTTTAAATTCAAAAATTTCAATTATTTATTGATATGAAATTTACTTAACATATAATTATCCATTTTAATGTGTACAATTTAGAGGCATTTAGTGCATTTATAATGTGCAACTACCACCTCTCTCTAGTTTAAAAACTTTTTTATCACCCCAGAAAGATTATCCCATGTGTTCTAGTTTTTCAGATGTGATTACCTTCTTCTGTTAGCTAGGACACTGGGTATGAGTGTTCACACACATGAAGACTTTATCACAAAAACAAGCTTATGCTTAAGGCATAAGATAAATAAGGGACTGGGCCTGGGAGACACTGGTCAAACTCTGACTACCCTTTGATGGTTTCTCTTAATAATATTTATTGTTCTAAAGGGGAATCAGGAAATTAGCAGCTTCAGTAATACATTGACTGCTCCATTTATGTATTTTTAATTTTATTATTAATTGACAAATAATTGTATATATTTATGGATACAATGTGATGTTTTCATATATGTATACACCATGGAATGATTATATCAAGCTAACTAACATATTCATCATCTCGCAAACTTACTTTTTTATAGTGAGAACACTTAAAACTCTTTTAGCAATTCTGAAATATGCAATGCATTATTATTAACTAGGATCAACATGCTGTGCAATGGATCTTGAAGACTCACTCCTCCCGCCTAACTGAAACTTTGTACCCTTTGACCAACATCCATCTGATTTAAAATGGGAGTGAAACTGAGTATATAGACATTAGGAACTCCTTGAGGACAGAGACTAAGTCTTGTACATCTTGGTATTCTCCATGCCCAACACAATAGATTGTACCTATAAGATGCTAAATAAATGCTTTTTGGTTAGAACTGTTTGGGCTGGGTGGTCTTTGCTTAGAGAATAGAGACAGTTGTGAGAATAGGAGGTAAATGTGAATTCCAGAGGCTTATAGATTTAGAGCTAGATTCGTCTTGAAAACAATTTGCAAAGTAAAAATTCCCCAGGACTTGGGGAAAGCAGGAAGACATGCATACCATAGAGCTTCCCATTAATAGAACATTTGTTGAAAATCATAATGTTCTGAGTCAGAGTCCCTGTTTTGTCAGAGAACACGTATTTGACTTGGCCGAGCTCCTCATTAAGGGTGGTAGTACGAGCCTGTGCTGGTGTGTTCGTTGGTGAATAAAACATCTTCCGATCCCAGTTGATATATAAACTGTTGCCCAATCTTATTATTTCAACACTAAGGAGAAAGAAAAAGAATGGTTCTGTGTCAGAACAGGACAAGCAAATATAACATCCTGGTTTCTTTCTTAGCAGTCCTGTGGTAGATCAGGGCTAGCATCTGAAAATCAGGGTGTCTTCTTGGGATTCTACCCTTCTGAAGTACCCTTCCCACCAGCCAACCCATGGTAATGCTGACTTTGGCCATTATCACTCAAGGCTTTACCACCTGTACCCAGATACATTTGATTAACTTTTTTGAGTCATACCTGTCTTTTATTCTTTTTTTTTTTTTTCTAAAATGTATCCAGGAAAAGTTACAGTTTTGGAATGTCTGCAGTAATGCAAGGTGTGATAGAGTAACAGTTAAGTTATAAAAGGCTGTGTTGGCCCAACTGGAGGATTATTGCTCCTGTCACATGGGGAAGACAGAGGAACTCAACACACTGGAGTTTATTTCAGAAGAAGGAAAGAAGTTATGGAAATTAGGAATAGTTTATGGACTGAACCTCTGATAAATTTCCAGGCAGAGCCAGCCTGCCTGTGGTGTGCTTCCTTCCACAACAACCTCTTCTCATCTTATATGAGTTTTCCCTATTGCCTTTGTCATACTCCTCTTCTGCTCCAAATAGCATCCATTATAGATTCTTTATGGCTAATAAGCATGTTCATTTTAAAAGAGTGAAGACTTTTAAGGGGTCTCCTCCTTATCATCATTCATACTTAATGTGTTTTAATCTGCTTTATTATAAGGGTGATTATTAGTAATCCCTGTCTGAGACAGCTGCACTGAGAGATGGGGATTTTTTCCTTTGAGGTAAAGAAGGAAGTGCTCAGGTCCTCATCATCGACTGATAACTGATAATCTCTATGCCTGGAGTTGGGACTCCTCCCATCCTTTACCATATCCAGCAACCACAGCAATCTCTCTAAACCTTAGCACATAGTAGATACTCAATAAATATTACTAAATAAGGTAATCTAGTTACGTAGGGTACTTTTTTTTAATTGCCAAAAAGCCCCGGTACAGGGTTTAGAAAGCCTGGAAAGGAGGAAACTAAAACGTATTTGGGTGTATGTATGTGCAAGGAAATGCAGAACCTAGAAAAGGATGATCAGAGTAGGGTAAATACTTTTCTCCACTATTTCAAATTTTCATTCAAGGTGCTTATGAAAAAGAGTAAGAAAAACCCTTCTTCTTCTCTTCTACAACTTTTAGGAATTGAACTTAGGTCAAAATTACACCTATCTACCATCTGTCACACTGTTTCTGTGGGAAAATGCATTCTGAATTCTGATTAATTGACTTACAAGTGAATGTTTGGACCTATCTCATTGGTAAACTATGGGCTGCCTGGCCTATCTTCCTGGGGAACCTACCCATGTGTTAGCATCACCAAATTTGTCTGTATGTTTTCTAGTTATTTCATGTGTTTGTATGTCTTATTTAGTCCCTTACTTTTTAAGTTATTTGAGGGCAGGGATAATTTTCTTTTTGTATAAACCACACAGTGTCTTCCTAGCACAGTATTCTGGACATGGAAGGCATTTATGCAATCTCTAGATATATCTCAGAGCATTTTGTACACCAGGTACTGTGGAGAGTAAGGGGTTAAAGAGCACAAGTTCACACTCTGGTTGGGGAATTAAGTAGACAGTATGAAGTCAGCTCCTCCCCCACACCCCAAAGTGATCAAAGAAGCCTACCTGACATAGAGGGAAATGGGCACCATGGTGTTGAGAATAATGAAGTAGGACCAGAATATGAGGATGGCAGAGACAGCTGATGAAGAGACATATTTTTCCCATGGCAGAAAAATCTGGAAGTGGTAGCCTTTCTTGTTCTGCCAAATGCCATGCCCAACTGCTAGGACAAAACATATGATGCCTAAACCCAGGAAAATCTATAAATGAAAAAAAAAGAATTAAATGAACATTTCATCCAAGATATGTACTGCTTCAGTTCTACAGTCTAGAGCCTTATCTCTCAACAAAGCGACCCTCTCCTAGGAGGGCGGGGAGGCCCTATAGTTCACAGGCTCTAGGCAGCAGTACATAGGACAGAAAAGAAACTCCAGTAGAAGCTCTCCTTGGACATATTATTTAATATTTACAATAATCCTCTTTTAATAATAGATGAGGAACTTAAGAGTGAGAAAGAATTTTGTCTAAAGTCACTCAGCTACTGAGTAGAAGAAACAGGTTTTGAACCAGTTCCAGAACCCAAGCACTTAATCATTCCATTATTGAAGCTGCTTTAATAGAAGTCTAAAATGTGTGGGGCTTAGCAGTTAGGGGGTGGGCGATAAGGAAACTGATATAAAAGGCTGAAAATATGGTAGTCATGTTAACATTAAAGAATTTGGTAAAACTGAAAGGTAGACCATATGCCTACTGAACCTGCAGCTCTAAGAGAAGTGGTTAGAAAGAATCAAAATATTGTGTACTGGCTGCCTTTGAAAGGTATTGAAAGAAAGAGTTGGCTGTGTGCAGTGACTCATGCATGCCGTCCCAGGATTTTGGAAAGACCAGACAGGAGGATTGCTTGGGGCCAGGAATTTGTCACCAGCCTGGGCAATATACTGAGACCCCATCTTTACTAAAAAAAAATTTTTAAAGTTAAACGAGGGAAAGATTTAGCCAATTTGTAGGCAGAAATGAGAAGATACAGAAACATGCGGCATCAAAGAACTATGACTTCTAGACATTAAACAGGAAGAGATAAGATTGAAACCTTAAGCAAAAAAGGCCCAATAATTATTTTCAACTGAATAAAGTGACTCAGCCTTTAGGCAAAGTTCAGGTTAAAGGTGATACCTTCTTACCCATGACTATTATTCCACATAGCCTCAACTTTCTTGCCATTAAGTTGAAAGAGAAGGGCATGGAGGGGCAAGGAAGCGAAGAAATAGGACAAACTCAAAAACTATGTCTAGGAAAGAATTTTCGGGGGCGGGGGGTTACTGACACATGAAACTAATTGGAAGCAAACAGATGAGAAGTCTTATGGGTTTTGGAGGAATCGTATTACTAGGTAACTATAAGCCTGGTCTAAAAAAGCCTGTGACTGTTTGGAAATCCTTAAAACCACACTGGGCAGGAAGCAGGTTACAAAAACTGCAGTCCCTAAGAAGAGTATACTCCCAAACATCCACTTCAGGGTTGGTCAGCAAGGATAAAGAATGAGGGAAAACTTCTCAGAAGTGGAGCCAGAAATCACTGAGAGCAATGAATAAAGGAGATCCTCTCACATCTCCAGACCAAGAGGAACCTCATTTAGATCTGATGGAGAGAACTGTGCATCAGTGAGAGATCTTGGACTCTGAGTTGGATGCAGTGACTGGGTAGGATTTGGGGGAGATGATGAGGGTGTTCCATATGTGGGAGGAAAAATGAAATGGATATGATGATCAGAAGGGTAGATTGTGGCAGTGATAATCATATGTATTCATTAAATTCTATTTTTTTTCCTTCTGAGCACATATCTAGAGCACATTTCCCAAGCTCTCTTGCAGTTATATGTAACTCTGTTCTAGCCAGCGCAATGTTGATGGAAGTGATTATGCTACTTACATGCTTGGCCCTAAAATGCCATCACGTGTGGCCAGGTGCAGTGGCTCACGCCTGTAATCCCAACACTTTGGGAGGCCAAGGTGGGTGGATCACGAGGTCAAGAGATTGAGACCATCCTGGTCAACATGGTGAAACCCCATCTCTACTAAAAATACAAAAATTAGTGGGGTGTGGTGGCGTGCACCTGTAGTCCCAGCTAGTCAGGAGGCTGAGGCAAGAGAATCGCTTGAACCCAGGAGGCAGAAGTTGCAGTGATCCAAGATCATGCCACTGCACTCCACCCTGGGCAACAGAGCGAGACTCCATCTCAAAAAAAAAAAAAAAAAAAAAAAAATCATGTGTGAGTCTTCCTATTCTCTCTTCTTCCCCATTTGCTGGTTGAATGCAGGGAATCCAGTAGAAGATCCTGAAATCCAAGAGGTTGGTGGGGCCATTAGCTAGAATGGCTAGAGTATTCTTGAGTTATTGGTGGAGCAAGTTGCCCCTCCCCAAAACAACCTTCATTGTATTGTCACATATCTGTGAGATTTTAAGGCTGTTTTTTATTTTGGTTATCTTACTTTGACTAATACAACTATACTACTCATGGTTCCAGATTAATCTGATGCCCTCTATTTTTGATTATTTAACATTTAATTGTTAACACACACAAAGACATATGCAGAAATCACAGATATATGTTGATGAATTTTCCCAAAGTAATCACACTAATGGAACAAACACCCAGAACAAATAAATAGAACATTCTCAGCACCCAGAAACAACCCTATGTCCCATTTCAGTCACTATCCCCCTAAAGTTGCACATATTTGAAGTATACAACTATATACTAGACATACACACACACACACGCATACACACACATATCTGTGAAACCATCACCATACTCAAGTTAATGAAATATTCATTATTCCTAGGTTTCTCGTGCCCTTTGTAATTCCTCCTTCCCACTTCTCCCTTCCCCTGGTCCTCAGGCAACCACTAATCTGCTTTCTGACACTTTAGGATATTTGAAATTTTTAGATTTTATACAAATGGAATCATATAGTATATATTCTTTTTTCTGGCTTCTACTACTTAGCATAATGACTTTGGGATTCATCCATGTTTTTGCGTCTATCAATCGTTCATTTCTTTTTAATACTGAGTAGTGTTCTATTGTATTGATATTGCACAATTTGTGTACTAATTTTTCTTTTATTGAACATTTGGTTTTTTCCAGTTTTTGGCTATTACAAACAAGGCTGTATGAAACATCTGTGTACAAGTCTTTTCATGGACATAACCTTTCATTTCCTTTGTACATATCTAGGAGTAGAATCACTGGATCCTATAGCAAATTTATCTTTAACTTTTTAAGAAACTGCCAAATGTTTTCCAAAGTTATTATGCCATTTTACATTCCTACCAGCCCGATATGTCCACATGCCTCTAGAGACAACATGATGTTATTGAACCACCTCGAAGTCTACCCAACAGTCTTTACATCTACCCAACAGTCTTCACATCTGTGACCTTGGTCACAAAGTATGGCTGGCTCAAAGCAACCCATCCCCATTGCTAGATAATGGAAGGGCTCATCTTTGTGCCACTGATGGGCAGGTCTTTGAAGACAAGACTAGAAAAGTAGGAGGAACAGGTCTAACTGGGACCATTCCTAGAAACTGAGATTTTAAATTATTTTTTATTATGGAAAATTTAAAACACCAATTAAAGTATATAAATAGGACAACAAACCCCCATGCACCCATGTACCCATCACCCAGCTTCAACAATTGTCAATTCATAGCCAGTCTAATTTCATCCAAACCTCCTCTTCCCCTGCCTTCCCAGAACAAATCTGTCACATTATGCAATTTCATCTGTAAATAATTTAATATATAGCTCTAAAGGATAAAGATCTTATTTTAAAACATAATCAAAACCAGTATTACTTAAAAATTAACACTAAACACTTAATATTCAATATCAAAAACTGGTATTTGAGAGTTGAGTGAGGGGCCGGGGAACAATAAAACAAAGGAGAATTGGGACAAAACACATAAAATCTGCTTTTATTCCTAGCCAAATCCAGATTCATGCTGAGTAGCTCAGCTTTTTGTGATGAGGGTTTCTCTGGGGCCATGCAATCTTTCCTTCTCAATCTTATTCCCACTTCTTTATCTTTCTCTTCAATTAATCATGTGAAAACAAAGCTATTCTCATGGTTCAGATAAAGCCTCAGTGAGTTACTGATCTGAGTTTGAGTTCTACTGCTCACACTAAGTCACCAGAAAGGAAGACCACTTCTCATCAGCCCAAGCCCCAGAAAGCAGGGCTTCCCCCACAGCCTGAATCCTGAAGGTGTAGGGCACAGTGTTTTCTTTCTTCATTGCTAGAGCTTTTCCTGCCATCATGAGGCCTTCAAAGCCCTTGCAGATGTTCTACATTTCTTTTTATTGTGGTAGGGATTTTTAGTACTTAGTCTTTAAAGATTCACTTTACTTCCTTTCTATAAGGAGAAAGAAACAAGGAATCATTAGTTTGTTTGGTTATTGCTACAGACCCTAGAGATAATACCAGACCTAGTCAGACCAAAGAAGTGCAGACAGCCTCCCATTTAGCAAAAAGTGGCTTCAATAAAGAGTGAAATAAATAATTTTGTCACTCTTGACAAAACTGACCTAGAACCAAGGTCACTGGTCTCATAAAGGTGCTCCCTGGCCTCATAGGCAGCCTGTCAAAAGAAAGCATTCCTTGGGGCCTTTGACCCTTCACATCTGTGCTTTACATTGTGCCTTACCCCAGAAGGAGATCCTGGATCTCTGGCACCATTTCAATTTCATGCACTTTGCTCATTTGTCTCACAAATACACTCCTAGTTAATAGATCTTGATTTAGAAGGCATTGTCACTGGGAGTTCTGGTCACTGGGGAGAGAGAACAGATCTAACCCCCAGCTCAGCTGTGGGCTCATCAGGAAGCAGCTTTGCTAAACGTGCTTCCTGTGTCTGTCAGATTTTCTTCTAAGAGGCATTTCCAAAAAATGGGGGAAAATGAAGTGTTTAAATCAGGAAGGATTTCTGGTTCAGCTTACTTCAAGAAATGGAAGTGTTTTACATATCACTACATCGGCAATGTCCTGGCACAAATACCACAGAAACAAAACTGCTGAGCTGACAAGAACCTAGCTAATTCAAGGACATTTCTTCATTTAATAATTCAATAGAGATTTACTAAGAACTACTTTGTGCAAGGCACTTCCAAAAATATGAAGATGAATATGGTGTAATTTCTACTGTAGAGGCTCATAATCTGGTGGCTAAGACGTTCATTCATTTTTTTCACTCACT